GTATTATGTCTTTTACGAATATTTACCGACTTCAAAAAAAGAAGCGGTAGTATGTTTTTATAGCATGATTTTTCATTTATTCTGGTCTAGTCTAGTTGTGTTGTTCTATCCTACTACCATCTAGTGGTTATGCAGTCCAAAGTGGAATATGTATTTGATTTTATAGTTAGTCCTTTTGACATACACAGTGTTAGAGAATCCAATAACAAAAGGGTAATTCTGTGACAACTTCGAACTATTTACCAGACGAAAATACAAAAAAATAATAATACGAAAACCAGAGAATCGCTGCTCATTACTCGCGAATCCCTTACGACAATTTTACATAATATTGAAGGTTTAAAATAATTAAAATATTTAAATACTTACAGATAGAAAGATACCTCCTAGGACCGTCGAGTCAGTCCCAGCAAACACACACACATACACACAACGCACCTCCTTTATCAGCGCTCTCTTCGATATGTCAGGTATGTGTTACTTCTATGAGACTTACTACTAAACTGTATTAAAATATTTGTTATTTTTTACTAATATTATTATGGTGATTAGCCTAATGCATAATCTTCAACATAATAATTATCATCTACCAGGCGTCCATTGTTATACATAGGCTAATTATTATCTACTAATTGCTAATATTCTAATTATTTACGATTAGTTAATAAACTAAGTTGTTAATCACTTAAATCCCATTCCCAAACTTGTTTCGACTAACACCCACTTTGAGAATCAAATATGTTCGATGTCCCTCATAAATTTTTTCTTGGCCTCACACCGCACCCCTCTAGGTCACCAGCGGCCACAGGGGGCGTTATAGCCCACTTTGGGAATCACTGACTTAAATCGTAATGACTTATAATATAATAATGGGGCCTACCGTATCTTTGCTCACCAGGAGTTTGGAGGGGGAGGGGGAGTGATTGGGCTCCGGTAACCTCACTCACACGACGAAACATAACGTAAGCGTTGCTTCACGTTGATTTTCTGTGAGAGGTGGTATCACTCCGGTTGAGCCGGCCCGTTCGTGCCGTAGCATGACTCTACCACATTTAGTATTTGACAGTGTGATTGGAAAAAAACAACCCTTCCTACATTTGCGTCATCTGGTCAGCAAAAATTAGATCCCATTGTTAGTCATTACTGAAAGTGTGAAGTTCAATACTTTGTGTTCTTGTTTAGCATTTAGAATATCAATACGTAAATACGTAAATTAGAACTTCTGGACTTCTTGATATTTCCCCAAATTGGATAAAGACTATTTGGTTTGATTAATATATTTATCAGGTACTCCGGTAGTATTAAGATAAAATAAAATTGGTCCCAACATATAACCCTGAGGCACTCCTATGTATGAAAAGTCGTAGTTTGGTAATAGAGGAGTTTTTATATACATAACTTCACGCCTGTCTCCCATGGGGGTAGGCAGACTATGGAATGCCAATTGCTTCGATTCTTACATATTTATTTATTTACTTTTTCGCTTCATCATCTTCAACAGTCTTTTCATGCATGCTCGTCGGTTAAGAGTACTTTTAATTTGGCCCTTCTTTAATACCTCTATATCGCCAATCTGGTCAGTATATGTCTATCTAGGAAAGATTTTCATGTGTTAAAATGTTTTTTGTTATTGATTTAAAATTTTTGTCGACTTTTGAGTGTGCATGTTAGGTTAGACGTTTAAGCTATAAAGATGATTAGTTCCGTAAAATTAAGCGTATGAACTAATAAATCTCTTCCGAAAATCAGGGACCCAATTTTTAAAGTTGAGAAATATAAGTAGGTATTATGTTATGATACAGGCATGGTCAAGCGGGCAGCAATGTCAGCGTCCGGTGCGAGTGAGTGCGAGCGCGTGTGTGGGCGCGCTCGGGGAGCTCAGTCCCGGCGGGGCACTCATGAGGCATCATCAGGCCGCTTCTATGGCGCGTGAGTATTGCATGTAGTGTAATGAACCTCTCTTATTGTCATAATCACTTTAAAAAAAAATAGTGCTTCAGATACAAAGCATATTATTGTATGTTTGTTAAAAAGAAATTGGAATGAAAAATTACATTGTTCTTTTAAGGTGTTTGGACCTCATAAATTGTTATAAGACAATAATAATCGTCATCACTTTTTTATTCCTTCGATGAGGCAAATAGTGATGTACTTATAACCCACTTGCTTAAGTTATGAGTCTCACGTTAGAAGTTTATTTAAAGTCTATCGTTATAATGCGATTTTAAACCGATTCTCGCCTATTATCATACACCACGGCCAACAACGGACTGCGAAACCAAAATTAGTAATACCCGAACAAGATCTACAACACAAAAAGATGCCAAACTCAATAAAAACATCAAACATTTCCTTCCAGAATTAATACCTCCAGACGTGAAATCAGAGCTGCACCGTATATACCTGTCCGGTGGCGAGCTACTCAGGGAACTGTGGCGATGTTTCCCACAGCCCGGCGCCGCCACGGACACAGAGGACGCCACAGCAAAAGCAGAGAAGTTCTACGAAGCACTGCTCAGATTTAGGAATGTTAAATTGAGGCCTTTTGAGGTAAGGATTTTTTTTATGGCATAAACGAGCATACGGATCATCTGATGGTAGGCAATCGGCGTCGCCCATGGACACCTGGAACATTAGAGGCGTTACAAGCGCGTTACCGGCTTCCTGGGGATTCGGAGCTTGAGGATCGTTGGGGATTCAGGAATTGGGGAGATTGGGAAAGGGGAGGGTAATTGGGCCTCCGGTAACCTCACTCACACGACGAAACACAACGCAAGCGTTGCTTCACGTCGGTTTTCTGTGAGGCCGTGGTATCACTCCGGTCGAGCCGGCCCTTTCGTGCCGAAGCATGGCTCTCCCACACTTGAGATTTATATTATACAAATTAGACATAAACTTATTTTAAGTACATAAGCATGCGATTACGAAGGTCATTTTCATAGAATAGAATATAATAATCTTTATTGTACACCATTAATAATATAGTACATACAGAAAAGGAAATAAAAAACATAAATAAGAAATAAAAATGGGCACAAAGGCGGTCTTATCACCTATAGTTATTTCTACTAGACAACCTTTGGGTGGATAATTGGATATAATGCAAAAGAAATCTTTAGACAGGTTGTGTTCATCTTCTTCTCACCTCAGTTGTAATTCTAACGGGGTCCATGGAAGGCACTGATTGCTTACCATTGGGTGCTTCTTTTACATATTTATCTAAAAAAACCTTTTTTTAGAAGAACTCACTGCTTACGATATACCTTTATCACTTCTATCACTTCTGTCATCTGTCCTTCAGAAGACGTCTCTTGTTTTCTTCTTCTAGCACACAGTAGATTTTTTTTTGGAATGTCATTTTGAGCTAACAGTTAAACAGGGTAGTTTTCTAAATTTTATTTTAATTTAGACACGTATTTTTCATTTCTCACAAAATTCTATACTTTTGACGATATATTTATTTGAATTATCGCGTATGTACGACCTCCCGCTCTTAAAACTTAATTCCATTTTATCTAAGTATTGTAACTTTATACGAAAAAATAAAAAAATATGTGTCTTTTTTTGTTTATCTAACTCACGGACTAATTACATTTTTAATGTTCATACCCTGGCAACTACCCTATTGCTCGATCTAAGAATCAATCCTAAAAGAAGATACGTCATTATGATCATTGAAAGGTGGTTTTGAGAAGTCTTTATTGGACTTCTTCTGGCTGATTGTGATTGAATTTTTCTTCTTTTTGTTCCACAGGAGAAAATGCTCCGCGAATTAACGCCGCTAGCAACAACGTTGACGCGGCATATGAATCAAATGATAGACACAGCGTGCGCAAAGTACGCGGTCTGGCAACAACGCCAAGCCAAACTGCGGTAGTAGTAAGTTATACTCGTGTACCGTCAGCAGAATCAGTTCAAAATTTAAATAAAAAATTGTTATCGATTTTTTTTAATGCCATGTTAAATAATTTGAAATCTTGGAATGAGGAATTAAATTGTATTTTTTTATTTTGGTCGTTTTCTTTTTTCAAATTTTCTTTGTGGTTTAGAAATATGTAAACTGAGTTGTCCTAGTTTTGACAATTTATAGTGTTCATATTTAGTCATTTTTCTCCTAATGACTAGTTTTGATGTTGCCTTATAGATTTAGAAATACCTATTATCCTGTTTTAATGATTAATTATAATTATTTGGTGTAGTATAACGAATAATGTAACATAACAAATAAATGTTAGAAATTAGTGTTGCTGTTGACACGCAATTTACTCTACTCGCTGATATCAAAGACAAATTAAAGAAAAAAGTGACACCTTAGTTAATTTATCAAAAAATCTTTGAAATATCAAAAAATAGCTGTAAAGTCCAAATAACTAGCTAATGACGTAGTGTTAGTGGTTCTACACTTGCTTCAAAATATACTCATTGCATTATAAGAATTAAAAAGTACTAAAGACTCGAATACACGCTTTATTACATTTAAACAAAGCAATAGTTAGAAAATAAATCAATATTTACGCTTCTCAACAGTTTCTGTGATAAATAAATGAAAATATAAATAAAGTTTTTCTGCTGACGGTATATTTTTTTAATAAATAAATTAATACGCGACCAAATTGTGAAAATTTCGTTTTAGGAACGTTTAGTGATGTGACGAGAGACCGAATGCATAATAACCTTTTTTATTACCCGACTGTAAAAGAAGGAATATGTTTTTCTGTAACACACCTTTAGAACTGAAATTCATTTAGAAAAACAGACAATATTATATTAAAACGAATGTGATAAATTACCTGATAGTTCGGATGAATTTAAATAAACTTTTATTGTGATTATTAGCGTCTTAGAGCTTATCCATTGGAATCTTATCTACATTTTTAATTAAAGCGTAATTAAGGAAATATTTTAGTTTCCCAATTGTTTTGTCCTTTGATAAATACAGATGTTATATTTACCCCTTACTTGCGATTAGATTAGATGTAAATATTTGTAAACTGCGCACAAAATTCAATATGATCTGTTGCTCTAAGAATCTCACGATGAAGGTCCGTAAATGTAAAGAAATATCAACGCAATGCATTAAAAAAATGCTTTATAAGTCCCGGTTACAGTTTGCGCTATTGCGCAAACCGTTGCGCTAAAATGCCAGTGTTGCGCAAACTATTAGGGTATTGCGCTAACTTCTTGGTATGCAAACTTGTGAGAATTTCATTTTGCGCAAGTAACCAATTATATCTAAACATATGAATGCTTGTTAATCAAAACTGCCCCTGTAAATAGTTACTCCGTGTATAAGACTGAATTTTTACAATCACTGTCCTTTTAAATGTTTTATTTATAATTTCTCGTCACATCTTAACCGTATTTGGCAAACAAATTATGTACATATGCCTGTCTTATGTATAAATAATAATCTGTGAATACCTAAATCATTTAGTTATGTAAATTGGGACTCTACGGACGTTTGGACTGTTGGAGAAGTGGTTTTGACTTCGTTCAACTAAATTGTATAGCTGAAATTGGTCTTTAGTAGCAGTATTCATATTGATATAAACAAGATTTTTTTTTGGGAATGAATCTTGCGTGATTTAAACCCTGTTTTCTACAATAGATATGATGTAGGTATGAAATTAAGAATTTTGTCATTTATAAATGATGTTTAAAACCGTATAGTTCTTTAATAAATTGCACTTTTTGCAAAGCAATAATAAATGATTAGTACAAATAAATAAAAACTACATCACAATCGTCTGATCGTCCGTATGAGAACCGCTTTAGTGTACGTAATAAAATATAATTTAGAATGAAAATAAATGCATTTTGATGAACCAAATCTAACTGAATTAATTAAAAATCGCGGGTTACTCACGTTAGTATTCTGAGAAAAGCTCTACTAGTTTACAATAGCGCTAACGCTAGCCAGTAGGCTGCGCAACATCGCCGCGACCGTACACGCTGCTCACGAGGAAGAACCCCTCTGTGGTTCGAAATTATTAAAGCTTTTCTCAGTATATTCACGTGAGGAACCCGCGATTTATAGTTAATTTGGTATGTCTCACGATAGTTATTATAAAAACAAATCTAACTGAATGAATAGTACTAATTTATTGTGTTTTCTCAAAGTGCTTGGGCGCGTTGATTGAATATTGTAATAATTCACACGCATAGCTATAAAACTGCATTGAATTTGCACCATAAGCACTTGTACCACCTCCATATAAGTATCCAATAAACTCATATGACAGATAGATCATACAAATTACATTCCTAAATCTGGTACATAGCGGCTATCCAGACGTTAAATAGGCCCTTGAAACTCTAAACATATGTGCCAAGAGATCATTTTGTGACGTAACATATCAATAATACTTTTGACTATTTGTTAATTAATACATTTTGTCAATTTAGTGCAGTTTTATGCGTGTTCATGCAACGAAATTGTTAGCAGTGCGCTCTCCAATGTGATTGTTGTTAGGTAAATATATTGTATTTATGTACATATCTTTATTTTTATTCTTGACTCATATTGAGATAACTTTGCCATAAGTAAAAAAACCGACAAAGTCAAAGCATTTACCTATTTTAATTAAATCATAATTTGGTACATTTGAAACGTCAACGTCAACAAATACAAAATAAATAATAGTCTGTCAGTCTGTCCATCAGTGTTCAAAAATGTAGATTCGAATGGATGCAAGAAACTCCATTTGTTACTCTTTAAAAAAATATGTTTTACAATTTCTCTGATATATTATTATCTAATATTGTACAAGAAAAGAAGACAATAAAAGAAAAAGATCGTTTATGTAATTAGATTTTTAATTTTCTTACCCTGGCAACTACCCAATTACTCATAAAGAAATCTGCTAGAGATACGAGTTTCAAATAGATAATCTGAGTGTTGATTATAAAGTTGTCTAGAGTCCATCAAGGTAAAATTTATGCTACTTTAAACTGTCAAACACCAAGCGGTCACCGGTGACCGCAACCTATTGTTCTATAATTGTGTCTGGGCCTTTAACCAAACGCCACTTTAGCGCTTGTCTACAGAGAGAGTAGAAATATAAAATGTATGGGGATGACACTGACAAGTGTCAAAATTTACGTCAATCCCATATAATTTGGTTTTCTATTCTATATGTAGACAAGCGCTAAATGGGATTTTGGCTACAGCTGCTGTATTGACGGTACTCGACGAGTTAAACCTTTTTGGTGGCTGTAGATTGGTATCGAGTGTTGACTGCTAACAATTTCTGTTTTTAATCTAAATAGCAACATTCTAATACTCTAATGTTCCACATTGAACGTAACTGATGTAATAATAATAATGTTTGGCGACAATAATCGCATTATTTTATTATAGTATAAGTTGGAAATATCCAAATTATCTCGTTACCATACTTATTTGGTCAATTTTTTGTTTATTAATTTTTATCTGATTTCAATGGCTGATGTTAGCGCTTTTTTGGATCGAGCGTAGTAGGAGTTTAATAATAGTAGTTCAAATTATTCTGTGTCAAGAAAGTGCTCGAATGGTAACTGCTGACTGGATGGCGTGGCGTTGGCAGGCCTTGGTAAACCGACGACATTGTCAGAGTCGCAGGGAACTATTGGACTTCATTTAGTATTTACGACAACAAACAAAATTGGCATATGACCTAAACATAACCTAAAAAATACGTATCTTCATCAAATCTTGCATTTTACTACTTCTTCATTCGTCGTCTAATAAAGCCATTGTTATCATGAGTTTTTTAGGTTAAAAAAATACGAAATTTTTCGATATGTTTAAGCATTAATGTTAATAGGTGTTTCATACACCTTTATATTAAATTTGATTGTTTTATTCCTTGTTTTTAATTTGTTGCGACACAAAATAGAATGTGACTAGTAGTGTTGTGACCATGTCCATGTGCTGTATCGATAATTTTTATCGACTTCCTTATGTGTTGTAGTTTAATTATTTATATCGATAAATTTGTGTTTTAATCTTCCACTAGTATCTGTTTAGTGTAATATTTATTTTAGGTGTACAATGTTAATATTTAATTATGTATGTATGTTTTCGCAGAATACCCCGACCTTAGTTCTCAATATGTAAAAAAAATGTTTAAAAAATTTCCATCTATATAGTCTTTTGCAATAAGGTTGAAAATCATTTAAATGCATTGGGGTATATTGTAATGCTGTTTTCCATATAAGTGTTGCTTCTATTTTGTGTCAAAATTTAAAATTACTTATTGAAATTATGTTAATTCAGTTTTGGAATTATGAAATATTTTTAGATCTCTTAGATATTTGCGCCCGTTTGTAAATTGATATTGTTTTTCGTATGTTTTGGAATCAGTTTCATTAGGCGAGTGAAAAGTTTTGAGACTAGATCTACAGCTGTAGCCAGATGCCATTTAGCGCTTGTCTACATGTAGAATAGAAAACCAAATTATATATGGAATTGACGTAAATTTTGACATTTGTCAGTGTCAACCCCATACATTTAGTTTTCTACTCTCTCTCTGTAAACAAGCGCTAAAGTGGCGTTTAGCTAAAGGCACTGATTAATTTCATGTCATTAGCAACATTACGAAGTAATTGAACCCTCACTATGTCTGAGTCATATTTTTAAACAGAATTCCATAGAGGAGGTACTCTTTCACTATTTAAGTTATACACTCTTTAAATATTTAAAAAAAAAATATTTAATACCCTGGGCTCGTCGCGGTGAACCTAACGGGTTACCGGCGCTCCGGCTCGACGTGCAGGAGAAGGAACGGTGTGGTTTTTAGCCAGTAAGAGTCTGACACTCCCTCCCGCCTCACCCAGGCGGGAGCAGACATTCGTGTTTTTCCACCCATAAAAAAAAAATACCATGGTCTCAAAACTTTTTAGTTGCTTAATAATTTTCATTGATTTAAAATTGGCAATGTTTTTAAAAATTAAAATTATAATTGTAGTAAAACGGGTGTCTATATAAATAAAAATGTTCCTGAAGCAATATCTTCTTAAATGTCTAAGGGCTTAGTACGAAGTTTGTTTTACGTTTAAATTAATCGAAACGAGACCGCGTTAGACGTTCTTATTGGTTGGTTCATTGGAGCCAGCCAATAAGTGCGCCGAACGCGGTCTCGTTTCGATTTCTTTAAATGTAATAAAAGTCGTACCAATGCCTCGTTATCATTAAGTTTTATTTTTTGAAACTTATTCATTTGTGATAGTATACGTAAATGGATTATTGTTGTAGACCTAGTGCACAATATTCTTGTTTTTTCATACATTTCTAAGCCCTTTAAAAATAGCGTGGTTATGTTTAGCTTGCCTCGGTTGTTGGGTCAAATTTAGAAAATGAAATTTAACCCCTGACGACAGATCGATATATTTGGTACACACAGCCTTGATGACCATAAAATATTATCAAATTTTTACACAACTACCTCCATTATGGATGTTCAACGAAATGGCTTGATTGCTAGAATATAGCTCATTTATAGTTTACCATGAAAAATATCTTTTGGTGTACCATTTTCAATAGAAGCTTCGTGCTTGAACTTGCGTCATTTCTGAGATTACGTCGAGTAAATAGCAGTACTGTGTTTTACTAATATTGTGCACTAAATAAATAATTGTATAGTAAATAAAATGGCGTGCTGTTTCATGTACGTGCACCGAATAGTTCGTTATTACTATTTTTCTTTTGTCTAGTTCTTCAGTTTAATTTAAATACAAAGATATGATTCGGTAACCCTGTTGTTTCATTTTAAACCTTTTTGTGTAGATATAGACTCCAATATCGTAAAGCAATACATTGATGACTAAATTTATACAAGTTTAGACTTTATTAGTTTGGTGATAAAGTAGATTTTTCATATGAATGTGAAAGAAAACAGTTTCTGACAAAGATTTATTATAAATATGTTTTACAAATTTAACGAAATATAGGTTTAATGTGTTTTGTTAAAAGCATTGATCAAGAAAAAATATTGTCAGCATTATATAAGGTGTTAATAAATTAACTCTAGGAAATCTAAGGTTTTGTTGTAACATTTATTCCATAATTAATCACGAAAAAATAATTTAACAAAAAGCTACCGTTCTAAAGTTATTCCACTATTTGTGTTACACGTAAACAGCCTAATATGCGCGCCGTACGGCGTACTAGGCCGTCGACGAAGCCCCGAGCGACCGCGCTGACGCAGGTGTCGTGGTACCGCGCGCTTATGTTACTACTGAACTTAATAATGTTTCATTTTAATAAACGACCACACGACTCTGTTTAGATTATGTTATTTAACTGAATTGATATGCTTATAATTAAAATAGCATAGCTACAATGATTAATTATGTCAATTTTTTGAATAGGTAAATACTAATAATAACTCAACCAAAAACCAATACTTCGGTAGTTAGTAGTACTAGTACTAGGTGGTAGGTTGGTAGTTACTTAGGTATTTATCATTTACAAGTATTCATCGGAATAAATGCCCGTCTCTAGATACCTAAGTATTAACAAAGAGTCTACCTTATTTACAGAAGATGCTGGAACTTGGAAGTGTCTTCCACTTTGTTCGATGCACAAGTTTGTACGACGCGACGTATTACGTTGTTTTTCACTCGCAATAATGTGTCTCTGTCACTTTTAATAATATCAAACGCGTTTATTATGCTTATTTTTAATTCGTCCGCGTTTCTAATCTCACTACCACTGACGAGCTGCAGATACATTTTCGCCACTTCTAATGTACCACATTAACATGTCTAAGTACTTGCGGTTACTATGCGTAAACTGCATTATTGAATATTGAACAACAAACAATAAAAAATGGCGCGTGCGATTGATCGGACACAACACTGAACGACACTGAGGGCCACACCCTTCCCGCGCGACAGCTATCGGTCAACTGGCGATCGAGAGAGAGAGAAGTGGGAAAGAGAGCGGGGCAACTAGCGAACGGGAGAGAGGGAGAAAGAGAGAGAGATTGCGATAACATGGGGACGGTGACGGCGCGCCATTGCTTCGCTCGGGCCGCAAGCGCAGCCCCACGTACGGTTTGCACAAAAACGTTTAACCAACTCCTTTATTTTTGTTAAAAATAAAAGTTGTTAAAATTGTTAATTTTTTTTTGCTAAACGTGTCAGTTTATTGATTCCCACCAACCTCATAAAATATTTAGAGCGAATTTATTAACACCTTATATAGGCCTAGACAGAAAAACAGATTTTTTTTATTTTTTTTGTGTACTTTACAGATATTATATGTCTCCGTTGTAGAAGCAAGGAATTATATACCAGTGAATTTTGAACCTTATTAGCAAAAACAAATGCTTTCAACAAACCACAGAAACAGTGAATACGATAAGTGCTACAATGAGTTAAAACAGCCTTCTTGCTTACTAAAATAATAAATATTACAAATAATTAATAATGCTATACATTTCTATACAAGACTTACAGTCTATGTTAGTTACAATGAAAATGAGTTTCTTTATATGAGAAAATTATAAATATAGTCAAACACAAATAATTTGGAATTTCATTGCATTTTTTATCAAATGCGTATCGAAAACAACCAATAATAAAAACGTACTAATCATTTTAATGTAGAAACAATAAAAAGAAAGAAAAAGATGCATGATATGACGAGTGACGTCATCAACATTTCAGTGTATGAATATGAAAGAGATAGATATAGGGCACTGCTTCCAGTTTTAACGAGAAAATTATCTTTTTTAAGTAGATACATAACATATAACATCACGCCTTTTATTCCCGAAGGGGTAGGCAGAGGTGTACATTATGCCACTGGACAATGTAACACCCACTTTTCACTATTTATGTTATGAGTCCCATGTAACAGGGGGTGAGCCTATTGCCATATACCGGGCACAATTCCAGACTTCGTGCTACTACTGAGAATTTATAAAAACCCAGTAGTACTTTGCCCGACCCGGGAATCGAACCCGAGACCCCTTGCCCGGCAGTCGCACTTGCGACCACTCGGCCAACGAGGCAGTCGAGCAGTTAAGTAGATATGTGTAAGAAAATGTTATTGATTAAGAATAATAATATGAATATGATGCTGCCTTGCAAAATTAAAACTATGCATCTAGTCATAAGTAATTACTGAATAGAATATTTGTAAAATTACACACTTTTATTTGTTAATATATGTATAAAGCCTGAATGACAGTAAAACCTGTAAAATCGTTGAACCAATCTATTTTTTTTCTACATTATTTTAGTTTGCGCAAACTTCCATGCGCAAGTCCATAGATGCGCAAATTTTTGCGCAATTGCAATAAAGTCTGTTTATGCAATACATAACTTTGGAATGTTAAAAAATTAAACATGTTATAAGTAAAATTGTTTAATAATACACCTACAATAAAATTCTAGCTACGATTAATATAATAATAATAAAACTCAACTATAATTCAGTATAGTAATGCCAACAAAACTAAATAACTTTTATATTGCACAAAAATGTACCTTATAACTTTGACTAAACGTTAATTTTGATTACACATAATTTGTTATATTGGTACGAGTGAAAATTATCTTTATTGCACGGTATTAAGGTTTATAACGTCCCGTTTACTTTGTCTTATTGGCACTACTTTACGATACATAACGCTTTATATACAGCAGTTATTATATATTTTCTTTAAATTAACCCGTAGACTGACACTTCGTAAAGATCTATGCTCAAAATGACGTCGATTCTCTTGAACGTATTAGTATAGCTATCCTTTTTTAACATTGAGAAAAGGAAAGAGACAGAATACAGACTGGAGTGATTATTATTAATAGTGATGATTTTGAAAATCGATAAGTTTGTTAAATATTTAGTTTCTAGCCGGCAAACTGCGTATCGCCTAAAACACTTTATATCTGACCTTGGCCTTCCACAAATCTTTTAAGACCAAATCGGTCCAGCCCTTCGAGTTTTAGCGAGACTAAGAAACAGCAATTCATTTTTATATCATAGATGTGATTAATATTTAATTATCTAGAAAATTATTTTTTTACCAGTATTAAGAAATGCGTGTTTAAGTTTAACGCAAACAAGAGAATCGTTGCCATAATCTTTCTGTTATTGCCAGTACAGGCATTATGACAATATTATTATGATTACCATATCAGTGTGAAAGAGACAGACGTATATCATCACATATTTCCATCTTTTTCACAGTAGAACTAGCTCGTGTAGCTCTAACACATCGTCAATCCTATCTTTTATCCCTGTCTAATAAAAATATTTCGAATAGAAAAAAGCAATTCAATGAATTGGGTATGCTTTAGGCAAGAATTTTGACTCAATTATGAATTTAATATTTATTATAACATTAGACAAATGGGGTATTGGCAATTAGTTTAACTAGCTAGTCAATTAACAGCCTAGGTGGTTTATTGAATGGTTTTGATTGTTTTTTTTTGTAATTAGTTAAATTTTAACTATCAATATAGGTATTAATGTCAACTATTATCGTATGCACAGAAAATGTAGAGGCTTATTAATCATTTTATTATCTTAAAATAGTCCGTAGTTAGGTATATTATTGCTGTTTATTTTATAATATGAAACGCTTAAGGCAATTAAATTATCATTTCTGTGCACACTAGATAGCACCACTATCGAATAAGATCCTGCAATTTAATCACAGTTGGAGTCAAAAGTTTTTATAACAGACCAAACTCGACACTAGCGCTCCTAGCGGTTGTAAATCGAAATTACTGCTTGCTTCAATTTGTCTAATGCTACATTTCAACATAGCTGGTATATTTAATAAATAAATACATTTAAAATATTCTCCTCCATGTCGGTTACTTACAAACAATATCAATCGTTGCTTTCTCCACACATCGGATACATAGATATCTCATCAAGTGTAAGATAAGGTCTTACCATTTTGAAATTCATGGGGTAATACTGGGTTTTTGGGGGGTAAGCAGTCTATCTGAACGCTTTGATGACCCATACGATTAATATGATTGCAACGATGACGCCGATGATGATAAGTATCATCATTTTTCTTCTGTATCTGCGTTGGTATTCTGCTGCCTTGGCTAGTTCGTCGACGCCGGCTTCCACGTTCGCACCGGCTGATTCTATGTTACTTTCTACGTTATCTGCAATGGGACAAAATTATTGTTGTGTGTTGAATATTTTTTCTTTAAAGGTCTTTAGAGGTGCAGTTAAAGTGTCAGTAAAATGCTGGGCAGCTCAAGACAATTAAAACATTTCAATTAAATGTAGCGGAGTCGATTCCCGCACGGAGAAACTTGTTTTGTGATCCTAATTGTTGTTTAGGGTCTGGGTGTCATGTGTACGTGAACTTGGGCCACGATAAAAAAAAAATATTTTGAATTGCTTATTCACGCAATTGGGTAGTTTCCGTGGTATCAAAATTAAAAAATCTAATTAGTCCGTCAGTTACATGATGAAAAAATATTAGACACGTACTTTTTATTTTCTCGTATTTAGTCGCAATACTTAGGTAAAATGGCGCTAAGTTTAGGAGTGCGGTCGTTACGTCATAACGTGCTACAGAATGTGACACGCTGTGACGTCACACGATATTTCAAAATTTTATTTATTTATATCAAAATTTTATTTATCAAAATTTTATTTTTTAATATATCGTCGAAAGTATTTACTTTTGTGAGAAAAGAAAAAATACGTGTCTAAAGTTTTAAATTAATGTACCAGTCGGACATGGAATAAAATTTAGGAAACTATATTGTACCGAGTAACTTAACTGGTTTCGAGCCACTCTAAGCGCGTAGTTATAAACAGCAATTCGGAACAAACCAAGAGGCGAGCGTCGCACAGCTATTGAGCTAACCCATTAGACTATATTTTATACTACGTAGAAATGCTCCGAATATAATAATCTATAACTTACCGACAGACTGTGCCTGCTGGTTCACCATATCAGCGAGTTCCTGTATGATTTGGTTCACGTCCAGTACATCGGCTTCTATCTTGTTGATATACGCCTCTTTTTCAAGCAACATGCTCGTCTCGAACTGGACTAGACGCGCCTGAAATACGATACAAATGTATAGATACAAATAAGAAAAGTTTTAAATTATCGATCCTAAGTATCTTGGATGAGGGGCCACGGGTGCACTGAGTCCCGACTCTAGGTGCCCATCTAGTGGCCTCAGGGAAGACGGTAGCACAGTGGTCACGTGCTGCCGTGCAAAGCGATAATCAAGGGATACACACGTCTTCCTAGGGATGTGCTGTATCAGGCGTTGCAGCGTGGGGGCTCCGGAGCAGGTCTCTTCAGGACCCGGTGCCCCTTACAGGTGCTGAAGGTGGTCACTGGGGTGGTTTTAGTGAGGTAAGAATCCCACACTCCCTAGTCTTTCTGTCCAAAAAGCTAGGCGCCTTTTGAAGGTTTCCCCCCGACATCAAAAAAAAAGTATCTTGGATGAATAAATTTTAAGAGGAATTTGGAGTTGTGATTAATTTTGGTTATAGAGTGTAACTAAACTGCCTCGTTGGCCGGCCGGGTAAGAGTTCGGGTTCGATTCCCGGGTCGGGCAAAGTATAACAAAAACGGTTTTAAGAAAAATCTTAATATAAAAAAAGACTGAGCACGGAGTCTGGAAATGTACCCAGTATATGGCAATAGGCTCACCCCCTATTACATGGGACTCATAACATATATAGTGAAAAGTGAGTGTTACCTCTGTGTGCACCTGCCTACCCCTTCGGGGATAAAAGGCGAAATGTTACGTTATGTAACTTGTTCATTTAGGAATAGACTCGATCTAAGAAATTAAGTGTAAAACCAAACTTCTCTGAAATAAGCATTTTTAAAAATTTTATACTTTGTCTCTGCTTATCCAAATGGGAAACATGCAAAACTATGAGTGACGATATGAAAATATGTTATACTAAAAACTTATACTCTACTACTTACTCTAATTTAGAAAACGCGTGAATTGTGTCTTAAAGTTATATCTAAAATCATTACACAAACATTTGAGGCCTTGGTAAAAATAATCGCAACGAGACCGCGTTGGGCACTCTGTTTGGTTGGTTCATTGGGGCCAGCCAATCAGAGCGCTGAACGTGGTCTAAGCCCACAGATGGTAACTTATTCACCTGTGCCTGTTGGTTAGCAATGAGCGTGGCCTCTTCATCATCAGCAATCGCTTGGTCTTCCATCGCTTGTGGGTCGTTGCGCACGCGCGGCGGCCTCGGCATATGTGCTGCCATCTTTTCAGAAACTTGCTGTAAGAAATAAATAATAATTAAAATATTTGTAAGGATTTTAAGTACAGTTTTTGCACATAAGTTACATGTAGCATTTAAAAACAACTGTCAAAAAAATAACTTTAAGTGTGGGATAGTCATGCTTCGGCACGAATGAGCCGGCTCGACCGGAGTGATACCACGGCCTCACAGAAAACCGACGTGAAACAACGCTTGCGCTGTGTTTCGTCGTGTGAGTGAGGTTACCAGAGGCCTAATTACCCTCCCCTTCCCCAGTCTCCCCAATCCCCGAATCCTCCAGAATCCTTAAAATCCCAATCCCAAAACGGCGGTAACGCACTTGTAACGCCTGTAGTGTTTCAGGTGTCCATGGGCGACGCCGATTGCTTACCACCAGGTGATCCGTCTGCTCGTTTACCGGCTTATCCCATAGAAAAACAGATTAGATATATTTTGTTGCCCTTCTACATTTATGGGCAGAATATGGTACTCTTTCATTTGGTACCTATAGTACTACCAGAGAGTAAGAGAGTGCTGAAACGAGATAGCAGGCCATTGTGAACTTAGCTCTTCAAAGGAAACTCATCCTAGTTTCCTAATCTGCGATAAAATTACTATTTCTTTTACCCACCTTCTGCACAGAAGAGTACTTCGCAAGAGCCTCAGTGAAGGCCTGTGTGAGCCTTTCAACTTGAAGTTTCTGTGGCTTGTCTCCCCTTCTGACGACCACGCCCAGCCGCTGAATGTCGCGCGCGGTCGCCGACACTGAACCATTTACAGTCTGTTGTGTATCGTGACTGGAAGGTCGAGAATCATTGATTAATTAAAACAAGGTATTTGTACTGTTATCTGTTATTATTGTTGGTGTTACATCATAATGCCACGCATTTTAATTCCCCTAGGGAATGTGGCTAATGATATTCGGTTTTCACCATTTATGTTGAAGTTCTATATGAATAATGAGCCAGTCTGTTGCCATAATATTCGGTTACATATTCAGAGTATACATGAAACCACTCGACTCGACGAAAAGAACAGTTATTGTTACTCATACTCAGACAATGTCACAATGAACTAAAAATATTTTCTTCTAGCAACTTTAAACTTAGGATTCATATTCCTTGCTCTTGTAGAGAATGTTCTTTCGTTCTAGGCTAATATGAACCTATTACACCAGAACAGAGTAAAGCGGTCTACAGTGGTGGAAATTAGAAAAGATCGCAAGAAATTGGTACTAAAACACCCATATAAAAATCTACTTACATTTTATCCCTCAACTGCACACTATCGTTGGGTCCACCAATCTGTTTCATCATCTTCTCCAGCGACTTAAGCCCACTGTTGATGCTGTTCACATTGTCAGCTATACCCTCGCTCAGGTTGTATAGTTCTGTGGGGCTGAAGTCTGCAAAGCTGACGCTGGGGACCGCTGCCGTCGCCCCGTAGTCCCGGCTTGAACCGCTGATTGGTTCTCGTTCTGCCATTTTTGTAGCTGTAAGGAATACAATGAAGTATAGATTAATTACACTTTTTTGACTGAAAAAATGTATCAAAGTCGGTATATCCGTTTAAGAGCTACGATGACATAAACATGCTGACATTGGCGTTGAACTTTGAACTGGGATTAGTGCTTACTGTGACCAACTCTGTTATTATTCGTAATCAAGACGTTGAAAGTAAGGCGAACGTAGTCTCTTGAAACAACGACTGTGGCCCCTGGCTACTATAGAGTTACGCAGAACATACACATATTGACACTTGGGACATCAGTCATTTTCCTAAGTCTACCACGCACATAAATAAACCACTGACATTTTGGTGCTTCAATCATTTCGAAGAGACATCATGTCCGCCGTTTTTTGTAATAAACGGTCAATAAATTCTATAATATTGAAATAGCACTTATTCAGTATCTAGAAGAGAAAATCTTATACAACCATTGCATGAGAAACTTAACTTAGTAACAAAAACATTATCGCAATAAAAAATATCTCAAGGACTTTTATAAACGAAAGTTTTCTTCGATATTTTTAAAGGTACCCTTATCAGGGTTATGACTGTGAATTAATTTTAATAGCAACTATATTTACATAATAAAATATATTAACGAAACCGCGATTGAATTAATGAATAACAGATATGAAGGACAACTGCTATAATATGATAATAATAATTACGTAAAACTTCTTCTGATAGCGTTTCAAATTAACCGAATTCCGATGTCAGTTTATTGGAATTTTATCTTTATTTAACTAGCGAAAAAGTTTAATATAGTATACCACTTATAGTGAGAGACGTCGATGTATATTTTATTTTTTTTTATAGGCTAAGCCGGTAAACGAGTAGACGGATCACCTGATGGTAAGCAATCTGCGCCGCCCATGGACACCTGGAACACCAGAGGCGTTACAAGTGAATTAGGAAGGGAATTTGAGGATTGTGGGGGATTCGGGGATTGGGAAGACTGGGGCCCCTCCGGTAATTGGTCCTCCGAATATAGATAGACTAGGCTGGGCGACATCGCCGCGACTGCGCACGCGGCTTATGAGGAAGAATCCTTATGTGGTTCGAAACTAGTAGAGCTATTCTCAGTATACTTATTCACGTGAGTAACCCGCGATTCTTAGTTAATACGAATATAATGAATGTCGCCACGTGCTAATGAAGAGGCCTAGATTCAGTAGTGGACAGGACGGATTACTGATTATCTCATAAGGAGCTATTGCTAAGGACTCCAGGGTTATCACAGTGGCTCTTGCGCAACGAGTTGCGTGTTCGATACCCGCAAAGAATGATTTTCTGTATATATATATATATTCTGTGTACATAAACCCTTGTTCCGGGCATCGGTGTGAATGTGTAAGCGACTTTTTACGTTCCCATGACGCAGGAGTAAATTCTTATGAGGGGCCATGTTTTTTATTAAAAAGGAGACCTTGCTCGGCAGTGACCTAGCCACACAATATTTTTTATCAACATCTTTAAATAACTTCACATTGACGCAATTATAACACCTTAAAGTTAAATTAATTCAATATTAAATATACGTCTCAATTTGGAATTGACATGAAAAATATTAAAATGGCCTTATAATTTTTTTTTATACCACGACAGTGGCAAAACGGTCCACCTGATGGTAAGCGGTTACCGTGGCCTATGTACGCCTGCAACACTTGGGGCATTACATACACCTTGACGACCCTTAAGAAACCTATTCACTCCCGTCTTGAAGAATCCCATGTTGTAGCGGTGTAGCCCACAGGAAAAACCACGGCAGGGGAGTTCATTCCACAATCGGAGGATCCGTGGGAGAAAATTCCTCTGAAACCGAACTGTACGGGACCATTTGGGCTCCAATGTGCGTGTTTCTTAGTCCATCAACTAGTTATTTCTAATTATAACATAACTAGCCATTGCACGCGACTTCGTACGCGCAATCCAGGTATTTCCCGTTTTCATTCGTGAATTTTGGTTTGCATAAAAAGTATCCTATGTCCGTCTCCTGGTTCTAAGCTAACTCCCCACCAATTATTATTATCATCCACATCGATTTAGCTGTTCTTGAGATATAAATAGTGTAACTAATACGACTTTCTTTTATATACATGATGACTAGCGACCCGTCCCGGCTTCGCACGGGTGCAATATGCATGTATAATATATATAAACCTTCCTTAAGAATTAGGTACTCTGTTTATTAAAAAAACGGCATCAATATCCGTTGCGTAGTTTTAAAGATCTTAGCATACATAGGGACAGACAGACGGCGGGTACCGACTTTGTTTTATAGTATGTAGTGATATATAGATAGATTATTTAAAAAAATATTTTGTTTAATTAACATCTATTTACAAGTTCATTATCAATATGGAAAGCCAATTAATATCAATGGCTGTAATTAATGTGTAAAGGAAGACATTATGTGTTAAGATAATAAAAAAGTGCAATGAGGTGAACTAAAGAAAATAGTATTGCAAATAAATACATTTATGGCCATATATGAAGTCTTTTTTTGTTGTGATAACTAGTTAAAACTGGTATAATTAAGCTAAATTCCAGGTCCATTGCCAATAAATATTATTGTATCATAGGTATCATCTGCCTTTAATTCCCGGAGGGTTAAGCCGAGTTGTACATTACGGCACTTAATACCACTTACAATGTAACACCAACTTTTCACTATTTATATTAAAGTCTTAGGTAATAGGGGGTGAGCCTATTGGCATAAATTGGGTACAATTCTAAACTCCTTGCTACTAATTACTGAGAAATATTTAAAAACCCAGTGAAACTGGCCGACCGTGGAATCGAACCCGAAACCCATTTTTTATACCACGACGGTGGCAAAACAAGCACACGGCCCACCTGATGGTAAGCAGTATTGAATAAGATCATTGCCCAGCGGTTCCATTTGCAATCAGTCGGCCAACAAGGCAGTCACATTACTGTATCATACTAATTAATAATTAGTAATTATGAATGAAGCTAATTGCTAATGATTCATTCTATAATTTGATTGCCTCAGGTTTCAGCGGAAATTGATGACTAATTGAACACAGATAGTGTTTACAAATACCTACAAACAAGATTAGTAAATAGTTGTCTAAATTCTCAATGAATATTAGTTTTCTATCAAAAATAGATATAGATCTAGAGAGTAGGCTCACCCCCTATTACATGGGACTCATAACATAAATAGTGCAAAGTGGGTGTTACGTTGTACAGTGGCATAATGTGCACCTCTGCCTACCCCTTCGGGAATAAAAGGCGTGATGTTTTATTATCTAAAGAGTTTCCTCTTTCAACAAACATAACATCACGCCTTTTATCCCTGAAGGGATAGGCAGAGGTACAAATTACAGCACTTGATGCCACTGTACAATGTAACACACACTTTTCACTATATATGTTATGAGCCCCATGTAATAGAGGGTGAGTCTATTGCCATATACCGGGCACATTTTAAATTATCTTTTTCATATTGTCAATACACGCGAACAAACTGGTTTACTAAATAATTTATTGGGCATACATTTGTAACCCATTTATTAGATGTTTTATCTATCATTCAACGAGTATGCCAACAAGCTAAGATTCAAGAGTAATTTTTTAATAATTATCTTACATATGAGCTATAGTAAATATTTATTAAGATAAGAAATAACAACAATTTGTTTTCAATATAACTTCAGCTAGATATTGCAATGACTAATACTATGACTATTTGTATACACTCCCACAACACAGGGCCTTTAGCCATACACCACTTTAGTGCATGTCTACAGAGAGAGTAGAAATCAAAATGTATGGGGATCCATATAATTTGGTTTTCTATTCTACATGTAGACAAGCGCTAAATGGCATTTGGCTATAGCTGCAGGAGTAGATAGAATAAATCCATGGGACAAAAGGGTAAAGTCAAAGTCAAAGTCATTTACTTCAATTAGGCCAGAATGGCACTTTTGAACATCAACAAAAAAATAATAAGAAGTGAAGGTATCTCTTTATATTATAGAAATAAGTATTGAAGTAGTAAAATAACCAATCAAGGCATTATGAACTGTCAAAATAGTAGCTAGTAGTACTCTTGCATGACTTCACCTACTATGCTCAGCGCTACTGCTCATAGCATGTAGTTTTATAGCCTCATGATTAATGACCATCCAATCCAACACAGAAAGAATTATTCAATCTGGACCAGTGGTTTCAGAGATTAGTGCACCCAAATAAACAAATTGTACAGTAAGTATAGATTTAATTGGTACTCTGAATTTATTCGATAAAAATGGAGAAGTGGGGTTTCAAAAACATTTTTTATTGAAAAGCCAGGTACTATTTTTTGGTCTTTTAATCCAATAAGTGGCTCATAGAAAGATTAGATCAGATTAAGTAATAAATTAGCCGATTACATCAAGTTGTTATTGCATAAGCCCTGTAATTTAGTTAACTAAGCCTATAATTAAGTTTAGAAATAATATTGGCTAAAGGAAAAAATGATTCAAGAAGGAAGGTAGTTAAATATAATGACTACAGTGAGGCTATAAAATGAAATAATAATTGGCGATTGGCATGCGAATTTCGTTTTTCACAAAAATATGTAACACTTTGAGCGAACACAAACAATGATTCATAAAGTTTTCATTGTTATCTATTATTATTTTTATATAGATAAAGGAAATACTTCGATTAATGTTTTCAATGAATCATAGATAAAATGCAATGTGCGTAAATGTTTTTAGATACCTAACGTGGTTTCGTAATATTTTTATTGTAAATAAATAGAATACATACCCGAAAAAAATATAAAAAATTACTTCACTTATGTACAAGGAACTATCACATACTTCCACATGCAATGGAACAAATGAATGTTAAAAAAACATAAAGCTATTTACCACTTATTGCGATGCAGGAAGCGTACAAATAGATTCTTGTTGTGGTTGTGATTCACTACGTTTTTATCCACAGTAATTGACGAGAAGTGGTTGTCACTTTAATTCGGCACTAATTTGTACGAAAATACTGTCACAAAAATTAACCAAGACTATCAAACGACGTGATATTGCGCAAGCTGAAGAACGTAACCGGTTTACAACTAACTTTACCTTATAAAATGTAGATTAGACTACTTTATTTCAGGTTTTCCACGACAAAATTCTTTTGTTCAATTCCAATCGACGGTCGATGAACTGTCAATGTCATTTAACTGTCATGTCATGACTTATAAAGTTGCCTTCATGATTTCTCAAAGCAAAAAATTAGTTTTTTTTTGTAGAAATAACTTAAATAACTTCAAAATATTACAGTAATAAGAAAAATCGTAATTTTGACTTTAAAAAACAATATATTTTCAGTTAGAAATTTATTTTGCGTAATAAAACCTCGAGTTTAGCGACACCTACACTGTGTTAACTGTTCAACAAATAAGTTAGTTACTGTTTATAACAATAGATGGCATTATTGCATTAAACATACAAATTGTAACAGATTGAAATAAGAAAATCCAAATACACATTTTGTAACATGGGTGAACATAAAAAAATAAAATATAGTTTATAAATTTAGTACAAGCACTCTTATAATGGCTGCAGTATGCAGTTGGTCGCACCTAAATCTAGGTCAATACCTACAGTCAAAAGATGCATTCATCTTTTGCCCTACTAGGGTTGCCAACTTTTTTTACAAGAAAAAAAGTATATTCAGATCTATGAAGATTATCAAACAGTATTTTAGACAAACGAACAGTATTTTATTTATTTATTGCTTTAAATACATATTTTTTGAGCTTCTCGCACAAGTGCACAACGTATTAATTCACAATCTTTTTTGAAAATTTCATATGCCTCATCACAATTTATATCAAAGTTAAAATAAATGAGGAGCTCGTTCTTTATTAATTTGATGGATGCTCTGTTTCTATCATCCCACCACTTAGCATTCATTACTGAAAAAAAACTCTTTCAGGGAGACCGAGGGCATTTGAAACAAAGGTGATTTGAAACAGTACAGATTTCTTGGAACTCAAAACCGTTAGCGAGCTGGCAACGTCGCTTTACACAAACTTCCCTTGTCCCGCGAACATGTCAGTGCGCGTCCGTCGCGTCAGTCGCGCGGTTGTGGAGTTTTGTGTGCTAAGTGACAAAAATCGTGAAAAGTAAGTTTTTAACGTATTTTTACGATGCCTATATTTTGTTAAGGGTTTTGTATTTTGGTTTAAGTTATATATGTTTCGAAAGCTCATTAAGTAATGATTTGTTATATATATTTAGTACAATTGATTTCTGTGTATTTTCTTCTTAATCATAGATTTAATAAAACTTGGGAGTTTTTTTCTTACTGAGGAGATTTGAAACAGGCTGTTTCAACTCTCCTCGTTTTCAATTTTATATGAATTTTATTTTTGTTGTTTTAATTAGGTAATTTTGTTTCAGCATGCCTACTGATTATAAACGAAAGACTGATAGGGGTATGGCGAGTCGCGAAATATATGATCTCGCAGCAGAAGAAGTAACCTTGCGACATAAAAGTCTCCGTGACGCGGCTTCGAGTTATAATCTGAACCATACCTCCCTCTTCAGATATATTAAGAAAAAAACTGCTTATGAAGCTAACGAAACTGCGAATGCGCCAACGGTTGGATACCCAGAAAATACTGTTTTTACAGCTTCAGAAGAAAAAGTACTGTGTGACTATCTTTTAAACTGTGCTGCTGCTAACTTTGGCCTAAGAACTAAGGAAGCCAGAACTTTTGCCTATAGCTTGGCTGTTAAATATAATAAAAAAATTCCTTCTTCTTGGACTGAGCATGAAATGGCTGGAGAGGTTTGGCTTCGATCTTTTATGAAGCGTCATCCGGTTCTTTCTCTAAGACTACCTCAACCTACAAGTATCGCTCGAGCTACAAGTTTTAATATAACCAACGTGCAACTTTTTTTCCAAAATTATACCTCAGTAGTTGACAAATACAAGTTGCAAGCAAAGGATATATGGAACGTTGACGAATCGGGCATCACGACTGTTCAGAAACCGGACCGCGTCATTGCTCGACGAGGACAGAAACAAGTGAGTGCCATGACTTCCGCAGATAGGGGAACATTAGTTACTATAGCACTAGCAGGAAATGCCCTTGGGAACTACATACCTCCAATGTTTATCTTTCCGAGAAAAAGATTTAATGATCACTTTATACGTGATGGACCTATTGGATCAATTTGTACTGCGAATGGGTCAGGGTGGATGCAAGAAGAAGACTTCTATATATTTCTTACATTTTTCAAAGACCAAGTTAGGCCATCTAAAGAAAATAAGGTCCTATTGTTATTAGATAACCACGCATCACACACTGCTGTTAAAAATATCGAGTTCTGCAAGGAAAATGGCATTATTCTATTAACTTTTCCACCTCACTGCACCCATAAGTTGCAGCCAATGGACAGAGCCGTTTTTGGACCGGTGAAAAAAGCAGTTAACACAGCTTGCGATTATTGGATGCGGTCTAATCCAGGAAAAGTAATGACCATCTATGATATTCCTGGGATAGTAAAAACTTCGTTTGATACAGCCGTCACACCGCGCAATATATCTTCCGGATTCATCCATACCGGACTTTGGCCAGTTAACACTAATATATTCCAGGATGCTGATTATCTTCCCAGTCAGGTTACTGATCGACCTTTGGCAACTTCCATTAGTCCTGGTCCATCCAGCTCTAATTTGGTCGGCATTTCAAGAAGTGAAGAACCCGTGCCATGTTCTACCCTTGCAGACAGTATTTTACACGATTCCCGTACACCAAGTCCATCAATCTTAAATTTACCGGCTACTCCTCCTCTGTCCAGCTACGATACAGAAGACGTACCTAAGCCTGCAGAAAACCCTCGTAAGAATTCACCTGATCTGGCGATATCTGAACCCGTTGTTCCCTCCACAGTCTTTACATCTGATGTAATACCTGTAGCATCCACATCACGAGACACTTCAGTTACTATGACAGAAATTCCATTCTCACCTGACACTCTTCGACCCTTGCCAAAGGCTCCACCCAGGAAAGGAAATCAAACAAATAGACGCAAAGTGAAATCTGCTATCTTAACCGACACTCCCGTAAAGGATGAACTAGCTGCTATCGAAGCAGTTAGAATGGCTAAGAAAAAAGTGAAAAAACCTATCTTTGAAGAAACCAAAAAAAGGAGTTCAAAACCAAATACTAAAACTAAGAAGACCAAGGTTGGTAAGAAACAAAGAAGAAATGAAGACAGTGAAGAAGAAGAGGAATGTATTTGCCTTTGTTGTTTTGAGCCTTATTCTAATAGCAAAGCCAAAGAAAAATGGGTGCAATGTCTGGAGTGCAAAAACTGGGCTCATGAAGCTTGCACTGGTGGGGAACTTTCTTATGTTTGCCATAACTGCTTGTCAGATTGATATTATTTAGTTTCATAATATTTTTATTTTTCTCATTTGTGTGATCGTTGTATTGTTATTTAAATATTCCAAGAAATACTGATTAATCAAGACTGATTGTAATAGTTAAGGAACGACTGAAAGTTAATAAGTATTTTATGTTAAAGGCTTATAACTTATATTAATATATAGGTAATGTTATATAAGAATGTACAACATTTTTGTTTATCTGGTCATTATGTTGATTGATGGTCATTGTGATAGGTATTTTAACTACTTTAGGAGTTGATTATTCGTAGACTTGTAGTTACCTCCTTAACTGAAAATTATATCAGTATAAAATATTGATAAAAAAAATTGTTTCTTAATTGAAAAGTTTTATTACAATAAATACCTTTATATTATAGATTCACTTTCATTATTATATCCCTCAACACTTCTTCAAAATAATATGTTTCAACTCTCCTCGACCCGTGTTTCATCTTACCTCGATATGAGGGGAGTTGAAACAAATTGACTTGTTACGGTTAAGTCGATTTTTCACCGCAATATTTATCACTTAACATTTATTTATGTTAATCATTCGCAAGTGTATAGAATAACCTATCGATTGGTACTAGTATCATATGATTTCTGTCTACAGTGTTTGGTGTATGAAACAAAATGTCAAAATTGTTTCAAATCCCCTCGGTCTCCCCTAAATGCTATAGTGTTTGTATATAGTGCTATATATATAGTGCTATAGGGCCCCTAACCTAAATATGTATGTACAAACACTATGAAAGTATTTTGACCACTAGCTATTAGGTACTTAGGTAGGTACTACTTAAGTACATACACGCTACGATGCTATTTACCTACATAGGTAGATATTATTACCCCTGCCATATATTTTACAAAAATCTTACTCAGTAGGACCTGGAAAATAATAAATTTTACGATAAAAATCAATGTACATAATCTCGCGTATCTTTTTAATATTTATTCAAAGGACGTGGCCTTGCTAGAATTTTCTCATAACACCGTGTTGGGATCAGGATGCATAAACCAGTCGACACCTGTTGCCTACGCCTGTTAATGCTTACGCGATTAAAAAAAAACTACTTGGAAAAGTAGAATAATGGCCGGGATTCGCTTTGCATTATCTGTGATTTGAATACGGAATAAAATAAAAATACGAATAAGATGAAGGATAAAATAAATCGTGCGATCATGTTATAGGGATGGACTGCAAAAAAATTAAATATTAAAAATTATGTGTGAATGTAAGTTAGAATACTTATTTTTTATTATTATTCAAATAACTTTATTTGTAGGCTTTTTCTAGACGTAATCTTTTCTAGGTGAGTCCTTATTAAGGAAGGTCTCACTGAACTGAATTCTTCTGTTCCCTTAAAGAATAAATTTGGATTAAATGGGATCCGCCTCTATATTGTTACTTCGAAGCCGGTTGGAAAAAAAAACCAATAGATAGGTATAATTTTTTTTAGAACTACGTTTAAAAAATCCGACTTTTTTAAGTTGATTTATTCATACTAAAACCTTTAACAAATAATTTTATGAAAACAGCATCGCGCATCGCGAGATAATTACGCACGAACATAGGTACATACATACATACAGGTTAAACTGAGAACCTCCTTTTATCTTTGAATTTGTACTTTCGTATGAATCGGACGTATTGATTAACTCATTAGAAAATTAAAATCAAAATAATTACACTTGCAGTATCGTGACCTAGATTAACAATCGCTCATTAATACTGGACAAAACGTGCGTCGTCGTGTAACGGTGTAAATTGACAATGTTCTGTAATTGACAAGTGAACACTTTGCATCATGGAAAACATCCCTTTTGCCCAGAGTAACAGGGTTGTACGTTCTCCGCCTGGTACACTTGCATCGACCTTACAACCACCGACCCCAGCTACCGATGCTCCTGAAACCGTCGCAACGCCCGAGATCCAGAAATGGTTAACGACAATCGACCAGAGCCTTACTGACATATGCAATATTGTCGGTGATGGCAAGATGAACTCGGAACAAAAGCTGCGAGTCAACTCCCTTTGTAGGAGAGTGAGTAACGGGACTTCACAGATGGCAGTACTTTACCAATCTCTTAAAGCCAGAGCCCTACTTGCCCACCAAAGCGCTTGTAACCTAGAATATCAATTATACCTCTCCCTGCAGCTTAAAGACCTTCAGCAGAGAATTGCTGAAACTCCCAACCCTACCAGAACAAATTCTTTCGCCGATATGGTAAAAAAAGGTTCGAATAATTTCATCCAGCCCTTAAAAGTAAGCTCTGTCGTAATTTATCCAAACGATACAACGAAGACGAGTGACGAGACGAAACTATTAGTCCAAAAAATCATCCGCCCTGAAGAAATGAAACTGCAAGTAAGAGGCCTTCACAAAACTAAAAACGGAGGTGTCATCATCAGTACCGAGTCAAAAGGCGATATTGAGAAGTTGAGACAATCAGCACAACTTACAAGCTCAGGTCTTACTGTCGATGAGCCGAAGAAAAGAAAGCCCAGAGTCGTCATCATAGGAGTGCCATCAGCTATGTCCGACAACGACGCTTTAATATGCTTGTACCAACAAAATCTGGCAGACAAATTGGAAAATTGCAGTCTTGACGCTTTCTTAAAGACAACTAAGTTAAGCCATAAATCAGGGAGGAGAGATGCTGAGACCTGCAATTATGTGGTCGAAGTAACTGCAGTCATTCGAAAAGCCTTAATATCCAAAGACCGAGTCTTTATAAATTGGTCATCATGCCCTGTTCGCGACTTCACTCTGGTGACCAGGTGCTTCAAGTGCCAGCAGTACGGACATGCTGCTAAATCATGTCGACAGACCTCTTTTACTTGCGGACATTGTGGCGAACAAGATCATACCATAAAAGACTGCCCAAAAAAATCAGATGAGCCGAAATGTGCTACTTGCCTTTACTTCAAGAAGCCCCACAATCACATGACTGGTGCTACTGAATGTCCTGCAAAAGTTATGGCCGAAAGAAGGTTCATAAACTCGGTGGACTATGGCGACACGTAAGAACGCTACAACTTAATCTAAATATATTACAATTGCGCAATGTAAACAGGTTGACCTACTCATCGCCTAGTTGCTGTCTAAGCAGTTTATTGTAATTTGTACTAAAACAGCAAGTGTATGATCGTGGACTCTGACCTAGTTTATATAATATCTATTTATGCAAGTAATTTCTCGACTATAGTGATAAATAATATGCTTTTTGTCTAAGTTAAACTGTCAAATACCAAGCGGTCACCGGTGACCGCAACCTATTGTTCTATAATTGTGTCTGCAAAACCGGTACTCGACGAGTTAAATCGTACCTAATTTTAATTAATTGAGTATTGGATACCTAATTATCTACCTACACCATATTGTCATTTTACTCTTAAGTTGTTTCACCTCTGCCTATCTCTTCCGGGAGTATAAGGCGCGAGGCTATGTATGTGTTTATGTATATTATATAGTCATATTTTATTTTGTTAAAATTATGTCAAGTATTAATGCATATAAGAGCGTATATAGAAATAAAATTATAATAATGTTAGACCTACTTTCGCCTGTGACACAGGATTATCCTAGTACAGGCACCTAACCATGTGAGATCTATTTATTTACCTATGAAATATTTTGTATATGTGTCCATTTACATTTCTGAATAAAGATTTTATTTATTATTATTATTTTTTTTTTTTATTTGAAGTCGGTTAAAAATTAAGTTTAAATTGCTAGTTGACTGCCTCGTTGGCTGAGCGGTCGCAAGTGCGACTGCCTGGGAGGGGGTCTCGGGTTCGATTCCCGGGTCGGGCAAATTACTACAGTGGGTAGCACGGAGTCTGGAATTGCCCCCGGTATATGGAAATAAGTTCACCCCCTATTACATAGGACTCACAACATAAATAGTGAAAAGTGGGTGTTACATTGTACAGTGTCATTAAATGCCGTAATGTGCACTTCTGCCTATCGCTTCGGGGATAAAAGGCGTGATGTTATGTATGTGTTTAAATTCCTAAAGATTCAGTTAGCTTAAACTAGTCGAGTTACCTTGTCAAACAATAATTGCATACGACATAATTGAAACCTTACTAAGGGTTGATAAATACACAACACTCATTTATTTTTGTCTGCAACTCAGGTAGATGGTAAATTCACTGCATTTCTTTCAGTTCATCACTTTAATTGCTTGCTTCCGCATATTCGTAGCCAATTTACGCAAAAAACCAGGTTGGGGTCATTTAGGCTTCACATGGAACATGACAGTTGAGTGATGGGCTTCTGTGCACAATGGTCGAAGTAGACTATACATCAATCGTGATAGCCTGCTGATTAATGGTGCAATTATCCACCTTTATACGGTACTATCCTGGTCTTTTACTTGAGCAATTAAAATTGAAGGTTTTAAGGATTAATGAGTACGAACTGCAAACCTGTGATGACGTCAGAACAGATATTCTACTTTTTGTACCAGACCTTTTTTCTTACATAACATAATATCACGCCTTTCTATCCCTGAAGGCAGGCAGAGATACACATTACGGCACTAAATGCTACTGTACAATGTAACACCCACTTTTAACTATTTATGTTATGAGTCCCATGTAATAGGCGGTGAGCCTATTGCCATATACCGGGATTCACACAATTCCAGACTCCGTGCTACTACTGAGATTTTTTAAAACCCAATATTACTTTGTCCGACCCGGTAATCGAATACGATAACCCTTGCCCGGTAGTCGCACTTGCGACCACTCGGCCAACGAGGCAGTCTCTTTTTCCTCTCCTCTTTTCCCTCCTTTTTTCTTCTCCTCATTCAATATAATATTTATTCAATTCTTTTCAAAAATTCCATCCAAAGGTTGTCTGGAAGAAATCGCCGCGTGTGATAAGACTGCCCATTGTACTCAAATTATTATTGAAATGCTTACAATTTTTTTCTATGTGTGCAATAACGTATAAATAAATAAATAAATATATTCTGATTTA